TTCACGGTATATGCTTTAAAACTCCCATTTCATACATTTGTTTACATGAATTCTCGTCACGTTTAATTTTCACTCGGCAAATATTTGATCAATAGTTATGACGTCATGGGTTTGGTATTTAATCCCCGTAATAAATACTTAGCTATTTATACCCTCCAAAAACGACAAAATTTATATTATGCTTTTGAATGATTCCATTCACTTCTTGGACCTGACATTAAACTTTGAATATAGATATGAAGGAATCATTATCTCTAAAGTTTACGTAATTCAGCTTACTATGACGTCATACTGTACAGGCAAGTAGGATATCTGAGTAAAGCCTTAACATACCTGCGAGGACAATATACGGAATCTCTTTTGCGATATAAATATTTAGCTGAACAATTAATTAAAACGAAATAATAGGCCGTTTCAAAGCACATATTACGTTGTCTAGGAAGGGAACTGCAACAACCCTATACTCAACCCCCTCCCTTTCCACCTTGACCAACTCCTGTCAAGTTTTCCTTTCGAAATTTTTTTCTTCCTCATTTACTTTCTTCGGCAAATGAAACTGAAAGGAGATACTAACCCTCACGAATACTACATTTTAAATTATGTTATTCTGCCTCTCATCATCTCATTTGCTGATTGTATACCGGTAAATCATGTTAGCGCCCTTTACACCATACCTAAAACCAATATGAATGTTTTCTTATCTATTTTCAATTCCGTACCTCCATACATAACACTGGTTTAAATGTCAAAGTAAGATGTCAACTGTAAAAGTCAGCTCTTCTCGCAAAAGTCTATCTACCCATCATTTGAAAAATCAGTTATTTAAAAATGCAATTAGTTTTTTTAACCTGAGATTTCCTAATTTTGTTAATTTTTTAAATTATATCAAAATAATTGTTTCAAAATAGTGAATACGCTTTATTTTACTATGTTGGGCAAAGTATTGCGCATTGAAATCCCCAGTCGCCCCCCTTAATTGAAAAAAAAAACTTTTGCTATGATATCAACAAACCTAGTTTTCAATTTATCATGAAAAATGGTTGTATTGAATGTTGCAATGTCATTCGTTTTGAAGTTACTGACTTTTGGGGGGAAATGTAATTTTTAAAATTCTTATGGTTCTCTTAAGTTTTTGAGAATCCTCATTTGATTGACGCCACTTATAGAATATGCTGTGGGACAGTACGACTGATTATTAATTAATTAATTATCTGTTGTTTAACGCCGAGTCGGCGGTTTTTCAGCCATGTTTCGGCGGCAGTTAGAAATTCCTCCTTTTTAGCATTTTTGGTGCAGAGTAGATATAGAGTTTGGTCTGGACCCTTTGACTTGATTGTTTAAAGTATTAGTCTGAAATGTGAGTTTGAAGAATTTTATTCTTGGAAAGTGAACTCAGAGTATAAGTTGGATTTCCAGATGTAGAATCAAAACCAATTTCATTATAATTATGAGCCTTACAAACAAAGACAATATTGTTACAAGCCATATCTGCCTGAACCATAATAAAATATAGTTATTATGTAGTCTTTCTAAGTATTTTATCACTTCTGATTTAGCGAAAACGGAAGGATAGATGGTTCGCACATTGCATTTTAACTCTCTAATACGATTCTTTAATATATTTTTAAAACACTTAATCTATTCTGACAAAGTGTACATGTCTTCCTCTTTATATTTTCATCTCCACAACAGAGATGTACTTCTGTAGCCAAATGAAGTATCGGGGCTTCCTAAATTTAGGAGCCTTTAAAATGATTGCTTTTATGTCGTCATTTTCAAAGAATGTATAAATAATGCAGAGGAACTAAAGTTGTAAGAAGGGAATGTGCAAGAACACTAAAGAAAATTTTGTTTTTGGTGTTCAGTATTTAGGAATTGTAAGGTTTCTTTATAGTTGACAAATTAAGAAGCAATAGTAAAGGAAAATTTGTAGGAAATGCAGGGTGTAGACTTCAACTTGAAATATAATGGAATTCAAGACTGAATACTTTTATAATTAAGAACGTTTGTAATATTCAGAGCAACTTTTTTTGTACTTATTGGAATTATTTGAGTAATTATCTTTTTTTTTCTTGTTTTTTTTTAAATTTATTTGTTTTATTTGGTTGATATATCATTTTCATTAATAAGGAAAAAAAATTATTATGTAAAATGTTCATCCATTTGTTTGTATGATAAAGCTTTTGTGTTAAAGTTGTTTTACTTTTCTAGGTTCTGTGCTATAACACATCCTTGTTTTTATGTACAATTACATTATATTCCATACATATAAAAAGAAATTTAAAAATCAATGGCAAAAAAAAAAAATAATAATAATAATAAATTAAACATATGTCCATTGCACATGAATGCCCTACCCAAGGTACACTAATTTTGCTTTGAAACAAGAAAAGAAATGTACTTTGATACATTGATGTGAGTTAAAGTAAAATAAAGGAAACAAGGACAAATTTTCATAATTGTTTAATCTCCCTTCAACCTAAACTTGCCGACAAACGAATTGGCTGTGATTATTCAGCATAAAGTCGCTCGCGTGGCGCAGTAATTAGAGCGTTTGCTCTATAGAGTCACAATGTAAGTACATGTAGATCCTTACGTCGCAGTCTCGAATCCACTGTGGGACATGGAGGTTAGTCCTTCGGATGAGACCGTATAAACTGAGGTCCCGTGTCGCAGTAGGTGCTGGCAAGAAAAAGATCCCTCACTGCTCAATAGCCCTGAGTGCCGAGTATAGGTCAAAATTTGCAGCCCTCCATCGGCAAGTGGTGGCGTCTCCATATGAGTGAAAAATTCTCGAAAGGGACGTTAAACAAAAAACAAACAAACATTCAACATAAATGCGAAATCAGTGACTCTTTTGGTCCGTGATTAAGGCTTTATGGTGGGGTATACTTGGCCATATATTGAAAATACATCATTAAAAGTCTTCCTCAGTAGTCATCTGAATTAAGCTGCTAACTTAACAAAATTGTAAAAACCAGTAAGGCCTAAAAAAAATTATGTTTGTTTCCTATAACCCGACCAACCCTTTCAAATTACCCCCGGGTGGATTTTTTTCTGCCAAATCTGCGTTTGCTCTTTGGTTTGATCAATCAGCTGATTCCATTTATTCAAAAGATATTAATTGTATCTTTATTTGAGATAAAAAAAATATGTTAACTTAGTCAACATTTACATATACCTTAATTATAAAGAGCAATCATTATTGTAACATGCAACAATTCCCCCCCCCCCCAACTTTTTGCAGTTCTTTCTCTGCCGCCAGGTAGTCATGTTGATGTCCACTGTAAATATAACACCTGGATAATTCAGTCCGGGGATATTTGACCCCATTATTTATAGGCAAAAAAAAATCTCGACCTACCGACCCTTGATTTTTTGGGAATGTTACAGGAAACAAACATCATTTTTTTTTAGGCCTAATGTACAGTGCAGCCCTGTACACATCTGAATCAATCAATCTCATTGCATTTCATTTGATTTAAGTTTTGAGCTGCAGGTAATGATCAGATCACCTATCTTCGTACATTCATTATATGCAGACATTATAGTGGTTGTGAAAAAGTACTCTGTATGATTCCAATATTCATAATATTTTGCAACTCCTTTATACAAGGGTTAATTATAAGGGTTTAACTGTGGGGCCAAAAAAATTGAATACTTTTTTCATCATTTTTAATTTTTGACGATCCACTTTATTATGGGCAATAGTTTCGTGCATTAAATGCTCAATGGTTTTGATTGTTTTCTAGTGTATATCCTTTTTTCAAAATGGATTTGAAATCTTTGAATATAAATTGCAATCTTTGAAAATAAATTGCAGTGCAGTCTTATTGCTTGTATTCTTCATTGCTAGTATTCTTTCTTCTAATTAGGTCCCCAAAGACTGATTGGCTGTGCATCAATACTTCAAGCGTTTTATAAGTATGACCATAAATACATATGCAAGACATGATACACACATATTTCTCCATGTACACTATGCTAACATACTTCTTGATCTTAGAAAAAATTATGGCAATTTTCATCTTGCTAATGGATGTCTTTATGTAATTTAAAATTTGACACAAGTAACTTATTTCATATATATTTTAGACTGACCTATGAAATATTTCACACCAGGGTAATTTTTTGGACATGGCTATTTACAAAATTACAACATTCTCACAAACTCAATGATTAGACATCTGCTCCTATATCAGACCTACTGGTAGATTCCAGAACTTACACAGGCAAAGTGCGGACAGACTTCATGAACTTAATTAAAAGAGATTGTGCTAGATATCTGTGGAATAGTAGCAATTTTCTTTATATATACATTTACAAAATGTCATCTTTTCATGACAAATGATTATAAAAATGACTTGATTATTCGGTAAATTGTGTCTACATTCTATCCAAACCAAAGTTACTGCGAGCAAGCTGAACAAATTTGACCTCAACCTTCCATTGTACATGTATTTATTTTTTATTGCTGCATCTGTTTATTTCTCTCAAAGTTTTGGATAATTAATCACATTATACACTGCTAGTGACCTTGAATTTGCCTGAATGATCTTCGTTCATGGTCATGAAAATTTTTGTCTACACATATGGTTCGTTTTTCCTTTGTTTCTTCCATTTAAACTAACTGCCTCATACGAGGAAAATTACGATCAACGATATATATCAAGTTTTGTATTAAAGGAATGGGTTGACATAAAGTGATAGCACGTATCATTCATCGGTAAACGTTGTGTTTTAATAGTACCTTCTAAATAAACATGATTTACCAGTTCAATGTACATGTACATCTCTGTATTTCTCTGTCATTATTGTTGCCAAAAAATGTTTACATCTTCATTATAAATGTACGAAAGAAAACAGAGAAAAATTGCTTTGTTTAGAATAATTTACAAATACTTTTTCAAACTGGCTATGCTTGAAAGTGGAATGTGAATTTTATTACACAATATATGAAATCAAATCGCATATAGTTTGAATTTTTGGACAACATATAATTAATGTTTTAATGAAGTCGTGATTCTGATCCGCATCATTGGCGTTTCATCTTCAACAATCAGCCCCTCGTATGCAGTTGGAGATGGCGGCATATCGGGAATATCTATCTCAGATTCTGTGTCTTGTCTGATTGGCTCTATTGTCATTTGTGGTAACTTAGGAACACCTTTCCTTTCGAAGTCTATAATATCGGATCGGGCTCGAGATTTTGCAGAGCCTATTACTTCCGGGAATACTTCCCTTGTACCACCAATAGCAGTGTTGGGTTTGGCATATTCAGGAAGGTATGAATTTTGTTTTTGGAAGTCCGAGAAACCAACGCTTATTCGAGTGGAACTGCGTTCAAGAAGAAGACGCCCTGATAAAAGAAATTGCAAAAAAAAAAAATTCAGATAAGTTCTAGCAAAATCCAGTTCTTTATCAAACAAACTTCCAGATCCCTGACTGTATATATTACTTGCTTTATCATGTGGAGATGTGCGCATATCTTTAAATGAAATGACGGGGTGTCTAAAGTAATAGAAATCTTGGGTTAACAAAAGTAATAGAAATCTTGGGTTAACAAACTTGTTAACAGTAATTGATAAAAACATACCTTTTCCAACTATCTGTGCTTTTTGTACTTCGTCTATTGCTTTATGGTCTCTTGGTGTCAACATTTTCTGTGACGAGATCGGATTAGCGTACACAGTTTTTGATCGATTTAGTGAAATTACTCCACTTTTTATTAACTTAGCTTTATGTTTGTGAAACGATCCCCAAATTTCTTGAGAGCATGGATCAGCTAAAACCAGGGCAAGATCTGGCTTCTCTAGTTTATCGTCATAAGAGATAGATTTGACAGTTTCAAATTCCGAATTTTGTTTCGAATTTAACAAGGAGTGATTAGTCCTTGAATTAAATGAAGGTGCAGTTCTTGGGGCAACAGGGATATCCAAGTCTGCTCGACTCTCTAAGTCTTCATCAATGGTTGTTCCTAGGGTAGTTCGTTGGCCAAGTGGCGTATTGGGTGGTGTTAAAAGATCCCTCATGCCTAGAGATGTATTTGGAGGAGGAGGGGGAGAATACACAGAATGACCAATATGACTAATATGACTACGTTTCTTGTCACCGGTAACCATCATTGGTAAGCTTTGTAAGTTTTTATTGTTCTGAATCTTGGGTTTTTCTTTTGAGAAGGATTCTGGAAGCTAGGGTCTTACTCTTCTATTTTCTCTACGAATTAACCCTTCCTTGTCCCACTCAAACAAAGCGTCTGCGTGAATAGGAGTGTAGGTAAGTCTAAAATCTGGTTTTGTGGATTCCGACGTAATAAGATCCGGAACAGGGTTATCGTTCTTTTCTACTTTGTTATATGACCTTGTGAGTGAGTTTCTTGTCTTTTGCCATCGGAGGAAAATGTTCTTGGAGAATGCATTATAATTATCATCTTCTCAAGTCAAGGGTTTCTGATCAAGTCCTATCCACACAAACCTTTGACCGAATAGACTGACTTTGATGTGGTTTACTATCGCGCCATCTAGTGTGATTACACATTCTAAACTCTATTTAACTCTTCTATTGACCAATCAGGGTAAGCGATTTAAATAGAGAATACGAAACAATATTGAAAGTCGGTTATGAATTCAGCATAACTTTGAATCCAAAGCTGAGACAATCCTTTAACTTGGTTTTTTAATAGTAAAGACGTTTTCGTTGGGATTAAAACTGGCGTGCTTATCTGTTTACGATTTAGTTTCAGGTTAGATAAAATAATGTTTTTGATTGGCTTATGCAAAATCGAATGAGGACAATCAGAGAACGCATTTTTAACCCCGTCAAAGTCAGTATATTCGGTCAAGGGTTTATGTCGAGCGGAGTGGATCAGACATTCTTGACTTGGGAAGATGTATATGGACAGGGCCATTTTATAGAGCTCATTAATAATAAATTTTGCATGAACTTAATCATCGAAACTTGTGTAATGTGCGTAATTCTGAGTTTACAAGATGGGAATACATCGTAAATTTAAAATATTAAATGTGAAAAAATGTGTTATGGTTCCCATCCATTTAGAGAACATGATACATGTTTCATTATGTAATGCCTCTCTTATCAAAAAAAAAAGATCATTTGAAAGACACATAAGTTAATTTATTATCAGATAAGTACATTGTTTATATTTACTTTCTTTTGACTTTTAGCTTCGTCCCGCTTTTGAAAGACCTTAAAATATTGGCGCTAATGAGTTTATTTTTCTATCTGTTCGTGTGATCACTGTATGTATTCTATAAAACCTTAATCAGTAAACGGGGGGAGGGGGATAAACTTCCCTCGAATGAAATTTTTAATGCAAGCAAAAATTCAATCGACCTTTCCTATTATAATAAACTGTTGATGTTTTCCTGGCGTGTACTCAATTTACCTTTCCCAGCCTAATGCACATTAATGCAAATATCACGTGATATACATTCCTTTCGCTTGTTCCGGTAACAGTGTTTAAAGTTTCTTCTACAGTAACTACAAATTAATGTGTAGTTGAATCTGAGAACATCACTCAGACAAAACCGTTGATAGTTGATTGATCGAAATGTTTCACTAGCTAAGCTTAAATTTAGCTGTTTGAAAATTTATCACTACTCTTGAATTCTAAAAATAGTCTTTTTTTCCTTTTGTGTTCAACGATGGAGAAAAAGGAAGACTGCATTTAACACAAGGCCTTTTTGTAGCTTCTGTTACTTTCATATCTTACATAATTTTTTTTTGTCCAAGCAGTCAATTTGGAACCGCATTTTAATGTCAAAACGATTTCACATTGTAAAACAATACAATAATTTTTTCATCCTTAGTACTTCACACAGACGATGGGCGAACAAACCGAGAAAAATGTCTATCTTTCGACAAAAAAAGAAATAAAAACTAAATCTCAATTTTAACAGAATTTTCTTTGGTATTTCAGTAAACATTACGGTCTTATGCCCCACTGATATGAAATAAACTTCGAAAAAGTATTATTAGAAATTTCATCAAGTGATGCTAATATTTAGCCGAGTATTTACTCAATTTTATAGGTTTTCTAGATTGTTACACCTGTTAACAGAAAATAAACTTGCAAACTTACGAAGATTTAAAAAAAAAAATTAACAGCATGGCTTACACATAGCTATAGGTTCGGATGATCGTTAATCAATAAATGTAGATAATGCTAGAAAAAATATTTTATGCTTGATACAGTGTACCAAATCAAGATGGCTTCCTATATTACCGCTTCGCATCATGCAAAATACAAAAAAATGAATAGGGTGTGTTTTCTCCATCTGAGCGATTTAAGGGTCTTTTCCTCCTGGCTTGTGACGTATATTGAGAAAAACAATTTTACTTCCGGTTTTACATAGTTTTTGCCCTGAAGCTTTGTCTGGAACTGCCTTTAGAAAAGTCTTGCAAACGCTTTTAAATTAAGAGATGACAGCTTGACAAGGGAAACGTATGCAGTTAAAATAATTCGTAAATAACGAATATATATTTGAGAAAAAAAAATTGTTTATTTATGCATTCACGTTTATCAATCCAATTTATTGCGATACGTCTGTTATGAAAAAAGTTATTTTGCAGACTGATTAATATACATCTCATTGTATATTATTGATAAATAGTTTGCACTTTAGTTGTGTTCATTGTCAGTTGCCAATAATGAATAACAGGAATATGATGACCTACGCGGTGTCCTACCAGTGAATTGGAGACCTGGGTAACAGGAAAGATACATTGTAACTCGTAAAAAGAAATTTGATAACAGGGATTTAAAAAAATATATTTTTGTTTATCAATAGATTTGATTTTAATTCAATATCTTGTAGACGTCCGCGTGGGGCAATGGTTAGACCGGCTGCTCTAGAGTCGCGAAGTAGTGGGTTGGTCCTTACGTCGCGGGTTCAAATCCACTGGGGGACGTGGGAACAGGTCTTTCGGATGAGGCTGTATAAAGTGAGGTCCCGTGTCGTAGTAGGTGTTGGCAAGAAAAAGATCCCTCATTGCACAATGGTGCTGAGTGCCGAGTATACATGTAGGTATAAATTTGCAGCCCTCCACTGGCAATTGCAAGTAGTGTCTCATCTCAATCTGAGTAAAAAATTCTTGAGAGAGACGTTATATAAAAACAAACAAACAAATCTATTTCTTGTTGTAATATATTTTATTACTGGTTTTTCTATACCATCAGTGGTCTTCCCTTATTTTTGATTTATTAGAGAATATGAGTTATATTAACTTTTGTGACTTTTGCTGACTTCTTAAAAAATATGTTCTGTGACTGAAAGAAAAAAAATCGATGGGAAAAAAATCTAATTATGTATTAAAAATTAAATTTTAAACTAGATGCTGTCATAAGACAGTAACCCCAGCACGTAGGTGTTTCCCTTTAAACGTACTCACCTTCATATTCGGGTAACAGTGGAAGATGCCCATTTATTCTATAATTTACAAAACAGTTGGTTTTTGACTCCCAATCGCCCTTAGGGTAGAAATCGGGGTCCCAAAACTTATTGAGCATGTGCACGTCTTCAGGATACTCCCAGACTTACTCCAAAATATGATTGGGCTACTTTAAAAGTATAAAGGTACTTCAGAGACCCAGGTTTTTGTTATTTAAAAAAATCTTATTTTTGACCCCGATTTTCCCTCACGGTGAAAATCTAAATTCTAAAACCTTTTTGCACATCTTCAGGACACTCCCGATAATATGCATAAATCTACACCTCTTTCAGTTTTGGTCAAATTCAATACGATCTGGTGCACAATAAGCCTATACTGGGATACAAAAGTAACATTTTCGACATATGATGTTGCCATGGTTACTAGAACTAGAAATTTCTTTGAAATTTATTCCAAATAAAACCCTTCCAGGTTTTGTCCGATTTCAAAAAGTACACGATACCAAGATACATAATTATGCTTATCGGTTTCTTTATTTCAAATTTCAATGAACAATATTGCCGTGATCACTTGAACTTTTTGAATTTTTTTTCAAAACCGCTATACCTCCTACAATTTTTATCTAGTTTCGATATGATTTGTATACAAGTAGACTATACTTAGATAATCGTAACCAACATTTTTTTTTAATTTGACAAATGGTGTTCCGATGGTTACTAAAAACAGAAGTTTCTTTAAAATTCCTCCGGGATGCTGCTCCACAAACACTTTTGGTGTGATTTTTATAATTTTTTGGTGTACACGTAGACTATACCGAGACATTACACAGGACGAAACTGCGCATTTCATTCAACTGAATGGTCACTGAAAGGTCAGGAAAGGTGACTGAATGGCAGAGCTATGCCATTCAGTCACCTTTCAGTAATTTTCCAGTCATCTTTCAGTTAACTGAATGGCAGAGTTTATTCCTGTGTTATTCTCTATATCGGTTTTTGATTTCAACAGATGATGTTGCCATGATTATAAAAAATGGAAATATTTTAAAAATCTTTCCAAACACTCTTCACAATGATATCTCTTTATTATAAGTATACCAGTAGAGCCACAGTCTCATCAGATACTTCTTGTTAGTTTTCTGTTGGGCAAGTATTTCCAGTGTCATATAACACCTCTCATTTTATAATTATTTTTTTTTAAATCTTCGTCTGTAAGAAAAGTAAAAATACTGCCTCTTTAAAATAACACGAATTTTTAAAGCCACTCAGTAGATAAACACATGGAGAATTTTGAAATGTTGAGAAAGGTTTATTATCATTTAATTATTAACCATTTTTCAATGATTATGAAAGTAACATTTCAGCCATGTTTATATAAATAAATAAAACAAATGAATTTAACTGCGTATCTTTTAATCATTAAGGGAAAAGTGGGTTTTTGTTCCAATTTTTTTTTTTCGGATGATAGGAAAAATTTAAGATGAGTATCATTTTACACAAAATAATCATTCAAGAAACGTTAATCAATCTCAAAAAAATCTTTAAACAAATCAAATTTTGTGAACAGGGCATAAACACGGACCCCGGGAAATCCAAAGGAGGATTCTGGTGCTTAGGAGCAGTAAGCATCCCCTGTTGACTGGTCACACCCGCCGTGAGTCCAATATGTATTGATCTATCTCTTTATATATCTGTCATCTAATAATCCATCCATCCATCTACTTCAAACACCAATCCACTGAAGAGTTTATCAGTGTGTTGGCATTTTTGCCGACTTCCTAGAAGTGGTAGAAAGCGTAATTCTCTCTTTAAAAATGCGATGTTGAAGACATATAAGATATTCAATGTGGAATTAAACAACAAACATTCGACTTTCTTTTAATTACAATGATCCTATTTTCCTTTTCGCCCTGTCTTTTTAATGTAATATTGTAGGTTTTGGTTAAAGTTGAGGTTGTATGAGGGATGATATCTTAGCGATTGAAAGTTGTAAA